GTCCTTCTCCCTTGCTCTGCTCCAGGCCCCCTGCCTTGGCCTCAGAACACATCAAGCTTCATCCTTCCACCCGGCTTTGCTCTGGCTCTCTGCGTTGCCCCAAATTCCTTTCCTCTGGGCTCTTCCAAGGCAGGTTCCTTCTGGCTCCTGCTGAAATGGCTCCTCACAGACAGGCTTTCTGTAATCATGCCACCTAAAGTGACTTCCCCGGCTATTATCCACCCCAGCCTCCTGAATACTTCTTTTGAAGGACCAATCACAAACTGTATGTATCCAACTTACTAATTATTGGCTCATCCTACCACAGAATGGAAACATTAAGTGGTCAGAGACACTGGTTAGTTTGTTCTCCTCTCTGGACAAAGCTCTTTGTGCGGTGACATAGGAGGAATAAAATTAAGTGGTGTGAGTCAAGTCAAATGCTGAACAATTAAGGTGCTTTATTCTGATAATGATGAAGGCATTGATGGTAAGATTTCAGCTACAAAGGTAAGATGCAGGAAGCCTGGGATATTTCATTTTTCCACGATGTGCTGCCTCTGTGTGCATCTGATGGTCTGTCTTCCTTGTCTACGTGGATTCTCTCCCCTTTGCTAGATTGTGACCAAACCTAAAATAAAGAGAAGGATGTCTGAAAATACTCAGAGGTTGTAGGCTCCGAGAGTGACCTTTCCCTGCAGGTGCCACTCAAAGGGAGCAGCGGAGGGGACGCCCTGGGGTTCCTGGGGTACTGTCCTCAGGAGAACGCGCTGTGGCCCAACCCAACGGTGAAGGAGCACCTGGAGGTGTTCGTCGCCGTGAAAGGGCTGAGCAAGGGGGACGGCGCGGATCACAGGTGCGCGGGGAGCCACCCTGTTCTCTACCTGAGTGGCCGGGGGACCAATGGGGTGACGACCTTCACGGGAAACTCAGGACGGGAGAGTCTGAGACCCAGACCACACTGGGTAGATTTGCAACTAGAAACCGATTTCCCCGATTTCAAAGTTTTGGGGTATTTTCCCCCTCAGATTAAATATAGAAAGAAAAAAGTATTCACTGGTAAAATTTATCAAAAATACTAAAATTTCAGTATATTTTATTATAGGACAGCTATTTTGATATCACGAAATCTGCTTACATTCTTTTAAAAGGAAAAACTATCTTTTCTGGGGGATCAGACCAGCTAGTTTTTAGGCGGCCCGGTGTCTGTGTTCTGAACCCACTTCTGAGCTCTAATCCCCACGCTTGTCCTGCGGGGACTCTGCTCCCGTCAACTTTCCTCGTTGTCAAGAAGCCTGTAACGCTGCATCGGTTTTTCAGGTTGGTGGATATGCTCACGCTGCAGGACCAGCTGACGCTCCGGGTGAAGGCCTCATCGGAGGGAATGAAGAGGAAGGCAGGGGCGGGGCTCAGTGTCACTCTGCGCACCCCGCAGATCCGAGCCAGACGCGCTGTTCCTCTCCTTCCAGCTGTGCTTCGCGCTGAGCATCCTGGGAAACCCGTGGGTGGTGCTTCTGGACGAGCCGTCCACGGGGATGGACCTTGAGGGGCAGCAGCAAATGTGATGAGGGGCGCTACCCCGTCAGGGCCAGCATGGACGCCTTGTGAGAAATCCGTGAGTTTTGATAGTACTGTTAAAGAAACAAACAAAAAACTGTCCCTTAAAACCGTTTTTAAATGTAGCAAACACCATCCCTATCATTAGGAACTAATAGTTTGCAAAAAAAATTTTTTTTAACCCTTATCTATATTTTATATCCAGTTCACTGAGGGAAAAATAAGCTTTCAGAGTTCAACACTCGCTCAGTGTTTCATTTGCCTGTTGACCTTGCAGGCGTGCAAATGTTTTGTGTTGGTACTAGAATGAAATGGCTTCAATACTTAGCTTGAGGACCTGATTTTCAATAGCCTGAGAAGTCTGAGGTCTCTGGATGCCCTCATTTGTACATTTCCTATGCATTCTTTTTCTTCCTGTCAAGTCCTGATGATGCTGTAGTTGAGTTGGGTCTCTCTCTGTTTGCCTTCCTTCTGCCTTCTCATAAACAGTTTCTTTTTACTGGGAATTTTCCTTTCATGTAAACTTCTAATAAATTTTTTTCTACATTCCTCCACCAATTTAAGTTTCCACTTTTCCTCTGGAATCTGATTTGTCCTCATCTTTGCTTTATCTTACCGTCTTGCTTTGTCCAGATTATGCTAATTGTTTCACATTTCTGCCACTTGGAATTTCCTCTCCGCCATTTCCAGATTAGTCAGAAGACTTCCATTAATTGTGAATATTCTCTTCCCAATTTAGGCAGATGATTCAGACCACCTTTAGAAACACAGAGGGGCGCCCTCCTGACCACTCATTACATGTCAGAGGCTGAGGCCGTGTGTGATCGGGTAGCCATCACGGTGTCTGGAAGGCTAAGATGAATGCCTTTCCAGAGCTAGCACCTGACCACTACACCTTATGCCCAGAGGAAAGCAAGTTTTGCCATTGAATGAGTGAGATCGTGGGACAGAGTTGCTTCCTGATTTACCAATGATAAGACTATGATATTTACAGTAGTAGCTGAATAGCAGCATGACATTTTCTTATATATACTGCTCTTACTTGTCTTGTTCACTCAGTATTCCTGTTCCAGATGTATTGGTTCCATCAAACACCTGAAAAGCAAATTTGGCAAGGATTACCTGCTGGCAATGAAGGTGAAGACACCCACACAGGTGGGGCCAGTCCATGCTGAAGTGCTGAGGCTTTTCCCTCTGGCTACTCAGCAGGAAAGGTAAAGATGGTTGCTGGTTTCCATTGGGTACCAAATGTCAGCTTTTTCCTGATAGTTGTTTTGCTTTGTAAATACTGGGGGTCACTTTTACTCCCAAAGAAAACCTAAAACAAAGAGATTATTGAGCCTGATGGCCTAGTGGTTAAAGTTTGGCACTCTTACCGCTTCGGTGGCCTGGGTTCATTTCCTGGTCACGGAACCACACCACCCATCTGTCACTTGCCATGCTGTGGTGATGGCTCAAGTAGAAGAACTAGGAGGACTTACAACCATGTACGGGGGCTTTGGTGGGGAAAAAAAATCAAAGAGATTATTTTTTTGGATACTACAAAAAAATAAAACAGAGAAGAGAGCGCTGATTTAGAAGCTGATATAGTATGTATTGTGGACCTGCTATGGACCACATATTGTCCTGATCTTGTGTTGTCTTATCTGATCCTCACCAAGACCTTCAAAAGTAGACACTGTTATTCCAGTGATAAGTTGACTAAAGCAAAGTAAGGATCAGACTTTTACGAGTAATCTGATGAGTGGATTTTATTAGTATTTTTATTAATAGGAAATGGATACAGAAACAAGATAGGCCACGTGACAAAGCTGATCAGTGGCAGGGCTAGAATGTAATTCTTATTTTTATTTTAAATCTATGTGTTCCAATTTTATATAAAAGCTGCTGGGTGACACTATCCTTGGAAAAGTAATAGATGTTTTATACTTCAAATTTGCTGCAGAAGACAGATGATTAGGAGTTAGAGGGAAAAAAGCAGAAAATGAGAAATATAATTCAAAATAGCAAGAAAGGCTATATATTTTTTCAGTGAATTATACAAAAGTAACCTATGCATTGCAGTACTAAATTTTAATGCGTCACAGGGACATTATAGGTAAGCATCATGGGTGGGAGTGACGGCCCCATAAATGCAAGAAATAAAGTGTTATGAAATGGAATCTAATTCATTCTGATCATTTGTGAGCAATAAGCAGATATATATTTACCTGAATCACAAATTATGAACATTGCGCCCACCTGAATGAAATTTGGTGCTGAATTCCTGAAGATTTTCACTTTCCTCTCAGAGACCTATTTACTTTACCCCATGTTAAGAAAGCATTTTGACTGGGGTAACGGGAGTGGATGAAGAAATGGAGAGGCTCTGTAGAGAATGGACCTAGTTTCTACTATATTCAAAAATTTTCGGAAACTATAGTGTGGTATGAGGACCCTGCATTCCTGGTGTGGGGGACCTCAAAATGTACAGTGGTCCCCCCTTACCTGTAGGGATACATTCCAAGACTTCCCAGAGGATGCCTGAAACCAAGGATAATACTGAATCCTTTACATACTATGTTTTTTCCCACACACACATACCTGTGATAGTTTAATCTGTAAATTAGGCACAGTAAGAGATTAACAACAATAACTAATAATGAAGTTGGCTTTGGGGCCATTATTATTATTATTATTTTTTTTTCTGAGGAAGACTGGCCCTGAGCTAACATCCGTGCCCATCTTCCTCTACTTTATATGGGACGCTGTATGGCTCAACAAGCAGTGCGTCGGTGGGCACCCGGGATCCGAACTGGCGAACCCCGGGCTGCCGCAGCGGAGCGTGTGCACTTAACCGCTTGCACCACCGGGTCAGCCCCTGGGGCATTATTAAGTAAAATAAGGGTTACTTGAGCGTAAGCACTGCCAGCCACGACAGTTGATCTGATAACCAAGTTGGCTACTAAGTGACTGATGGTCGGGTAGCATCTACAGTGTGGATCCGCTGAACAAAAGGATAATTCACGTCCCAGGTGGGAAGGAGAGGGACAGCACGAGATTTCATCACACTACTCAGAATGGAGTGAAGTTTAAAATTTATGAATTGTTTATTTCTGGAATTTTCCATTTAATGTTTTCCAGCTGCCATTCACCGCAGGTAACTGAAACCATAGAAAGTGAAATGGCGGATAAGTGGGGACTGCTGTACTTAGACTGGCCCAACCCACTTTCCTCCAAGGAGCCTAAGATATGAAACTGAGTCTCATCCTTTTCTCCCAGTCCTCCTGCTTGTGAACTGGCTTCCTTTAATTACCGTGAATTCATCCTAGAACTTTCTACCACAGACACTCTTATTTATGAAAATAAATAGTGAAGATGTTTTCAGTAGATTTACGTCAGCCATAGGTGGTAACCTGAATACCCAGAGATCAGCCCCACGTCTAACTTCCTTTCAGGTACTCACCTATGATGATTTGTAAATTGCCCGTCCAGAATGTGCAACCTTTGTCACAGACTTTCTTCAAATTAGAGACAGGTAAGAGAGGTCCATTTGAGTTAAGACCCTGGGAAGCAGATAATTCCAAAACTTAAAATAACCCGTATAGTTGATAAATTGAATTGAGACATAAGATGCTGAATCTCAAAGTTAAAAGTTCACTTTGGATTTCAGAAGCACAAAACCAGGAGGTGAGACAGTTCTGTATATGGATGTGTGTGTGCATGACAAAGGGTGAGGGGTTATATTTCACTTTTGATTAGTGTATTTTTACTTTTTTTTTGCACAGATAGTGGTACACAATAAGACAAAACTTACTACACATTGAAGGAGGTTACATTCTTTAGATCTTCTAGATCATAGATATACACTCACTTTGAACACTGTATTTAAAATGTGTCCCTTTGCATTGCCTGTTATTTTATTGGCTCAGGCTATAGATCAAGAAACAGACCTGCTGTGTAATCATGAATAACATACTTTCACACTTTAAAACTAAACATCCTGCTTCCCTCCAGGCGCTGTTTTTCGTTTTTGTTTTTTGTTTTTTTTTTTTTCTATTTCTTGCCACTTTAGCCCATGAACTCTGCTACTTGGAGAGCTGTTTTCATTGTCACTGCTTAGTGATATCTTTGCTTGCTTGTGACCTGCCCTAAGGAAGATATTCAGGTCTCCTCGTTCTAGAAGAGACTCTTCTTACTCCTGTTGATAGCATCCATGGTCACAGTGATACATCTCCTTTCTCTTCTCTGGGCTGAGTACCCCAACTTTCTGGGCCATGTGGTCATTCACAGCACTCCCCAGATGGGCACTGCGGCCACTATTGGCCTGGGACTTTTGGTGGTATTTTCCCAATCTGCTGAGCTCCCATAGGGGCTCTAACTGCACTTCCCAGTTTAGTTGTTCAACCAGAAGGATTTTCAACCCTATTAAGGGTAAGTTGCAATGGCTTTTGGGAAGAGGCCCAAGAGGCTATCTGCCCCCTAGAAAACCACAGACATCTTTCTCTATAGTCTCCTGATGCATCCCTTTTCAAAATGTCTCTTCTTCCCGCAGCTTCCTCCTGCTCTTCTGAGTCTGCTGACACACTGGGTCACATGCAGGGAAGGAAGCCTTCTCAGCACCATTTCCTCCCTTAAATAGAGATCCCAAAAATTGTGCAACATGCAAGTGTAACACAAGCTCTCTTCCCCCAGTCCTAAGCAAACATGTTTGTATATGTCAGCTGTAAGATGTGCTCAGCCCATCACTTCATTTAAGATTTGCATGTATTTTCTATTTGGACCCTATGATGATGTAGTAAACCATCCGGGTTTAAAAAATATGGAGCCCTGATGTGCATCCATCCTTACACAGTTAAACAGAGCTTCGACCTGGAGGAGTACAGCCTCTCACAGTCCACCCTGGAGCAGGTGGGTCAGTTTTAGTGATTTTATGTCGTCCACGGGATACAAATGTATAAATGTGCATACGCTTTGCACACACTTGGAGCACCAGGAGGCAGTGTGACCTCCTCTCCATTTCTTGCCCCTCTTTCAGGTTTTCCTGGAGCTCTCCAAGGAGCAGGAGCTGGAGCACTGTGACGAGGAACTTCCCGCCTCAGTGAAGCAGAAGCTCCTCCCGCAGGAAGAGCCTCGAAGCCTCAAATACCCTGTGTTTTTATGAGAGAATTATGATGTTATAATCTTATTAAAATGTTTTAGCATTACAAAGCTATCATGTTATCATTTTTCTGAGAAATACTGACATGGTTCTTCACGTGGTGGAGAGGAGAACGAGTGCTGGGCAAATGCAGGTGACAGTGTGGACAGAGACACTCGACTGAGCCCACCTCCCAGTCACAGCTTCCGTATCTCTGCATGTCACATCTATTTTGTGTCTAGTTTTTTGTATTTTTTTTTAAACTTAACATTATGTGTGAAGTCCATCCATATGGCAGTGGATCACTTTCATTTGTTGTTGTGTAGTGTTCCACTGTATAAATACACCACAATTTATTTATCCATTTTGGCTATTATGAATAAACCTGATGTGAAGATCCTTTTATAGGTGTTTTGGTGGAAATAAGCCTTCATATCTGTGTGTCTATGCCTAGAGTCCAATTGCTGGTCATAGAGTAAGCATTTCTTTACCTGTAGTAGATACTACCGAACATTTATGAAAAGCAGTCATACAAATTCACAATCACATCAATAGTATGTGAGAATTCTAAGCCTTCCACATTACCTATCTATTTAATATCAGGCATTCTGGTGGATGTACACAGATATTTTATTATGATTTCAATCTTCATTTCACTGATGACTAGCAAGGTTAAACATGTTTTTACATGTTTGTTGGCCATTTGGAAATTTTTTGGTATGAAGAACCTATTGAAGTCTTTTACCCATTTTAAAAAAGTTAAGTTGTATGCCCATTGCTTATTGACTTGTGGAATTTCATGTATATTATGAATGTGAGTCCTTTGTTGAACAAATTTGCAATGGATACATGCAACAAATATTTTCTCTTAATTTGTGGTTTTCATCTTCACTCTCTCGATAGTTCCTTTTAATGAACAGAATTTCTTAATTTACGGTTAGTCTTGTTTAAAAAGTACTTTCTTCATTGCAAGGATGTAGAGATGTTCCTCTGAGTGATGGTCTTAATTCCTTCTCCTAATAATTGTCTCTTATTTCATTTTTCTCCATTTTTGCACTGCTAAGACCTCTAATACTACACTGAATACCAATTCTGATTGCGGACATGCTTCTTTTTCCCAATCACAGGGATAAAACATTCAAAATTTCACCATTAAGAGTGATATTAGGGCCGGCCCCGTGGCTTAGTGGTTAAGTGCGCACGCTCCACTACAGGCGGCCCAGGTTTGGATCCCGGGAGTGCACTGACCCACAGTTTGTCTGGCCATGTTGAGGCGGCATCCCACATACAGCAACTAGAAGGATGTGCAACTATGACATACAACTATCTACTGTGGCTTTGGGGAGAAAAAGGGAAAAAAAGGAGGAGGATTGGCAATAGATGTTAGCTCAGGGCTGATCTTCCTCACACACACACAAAAAAGATTGTTTTGCTTTAAAAAAAAAAAGAGCGATATTAGCTGTATTTTTAAAAAAATATCTGTTATCATATTGAAGAATTCCCTTCTCTTCTTAGTCTGCTGGTAGATTTTATTATAAATGGGTGTAGAACTTTATGAAATGATTTTTTGTTCTAGTGAAATAATAATTAATTATTAATGATTAATGTGATTAATTAATTTGATTGATTTTGAATGCTAACCAACCTTGCATTCTTGGACCAGTTTATGCCCAGTTAGGTAATATCTGGATTTGATGTATTTGATACAATGATTTATTACCTGGATTTTATTTGGTAACATTTGCTTAGGATTGTTTATCTATGTTCAGGAAGCATATTTTTCTATAAACTTCATTTCTTGTAATGTCCTTGTCTGGTTTGGGTATTAAAGTAGTCCTGGCCTCATGACACAAGTTGAGAAGGTGCCTAGATTGCACAGGGTCAAATATCTGAAAGGATTCTCACGACTCCTCACACAAGCTTTAATAAAGGTAAAGTGCTAAACCAGAAGATAGCAAGCTTAGTCAAGCGTTGGGGCTCTAACAGTAGCTCCCTAGGGTCTTTGTCAGTCACACAGATGTGCTTCTATGAATTAATGATCTCCCAAGATATGTGCAAGAAATTTGACATCAGGAACATCTGGGCAAAAGTTTCCAGCAATATCTTCTATACCTCACTGCTCATAAAGCCAAGCCATCTTCAGGAGTTGGGCCAAAAGACCCTGGCCCTCTCATCACTCAGGATCACAATACTATCCTTTATTTCACACCATTTTAATTGACACTGGCTTTTCAGGGACTCTAGATTCCTCTTTGGAGTAATCATCAAATATTTAAAAAGTCATTGATGCCAGGATAAATTGAGCAAATATGTCATGGTCTTTTTGTAGTTCTAGGTGTTGGTGAAACATCTGAATCATCTAATCTCTTTAGTTATCCATTAAAATTTTAGTAACTACCCAACTCCTCCATTTTCATGCCGTTTTTAATTAACCGTCTGAACACTCTAACCTAACTAAATTGTCCCAAGGTTTTTTTTAAAAACTTGTATTTAAAATTATTTTCTTTCTTCTGAATAACTCTTTTTTCACACACACACACACACACACACACACACACACACACACCATTATTCAGCCACATTTGTGGTAGCTGGGTGAGGGAGTCTGTGACAGCTTCCCTCACATCATCCTGTCCCCCTAACAATAAAGACCCTACAAGGAGCCAAAACAATGGAGTCTTTTTTTAACATAACATCAGCCGCCAATTGAGTTCAAGACATAGAATAAGAAGAAACCTTAGAATCATCATTTAACAAGTCTAAAGTTATTTGCATTCTCAACATTTCAGCATCCTCAGAAGGAGTATTCCATTTAATATATATGACTGCAGTTGCACAATTCCCTTTTTCATTGTATTTTATATAATCCCACATTTACCCTTTTTAACAGATTGGGGATTGGGGGTTGTCCCTTTATGTGTATTTCTGCAAAAGTTGTTGCTAACTGAGGGTCCTCCTCTGAGTAAGACCAAGCATTCTCTTCCACTTGGGTGTGTCTAATGGAAGGAAAATAGTTCCTTGATATCCATGTGTAAAATTCATTTCTCTAGAGGTTCAAGAGAGAGTTCCTGATACGGGCTTACTGGAAAGTGGCCTTCCTCTTTGATCAAATTCCCCATGTTTAGGTAGTCTCTTGATTCTCTCCCCCTATTACCTGTATAATCTTTTTGATGATTATTGTTTGGACAGGGACCATATTCCTATCAAAAGATAGCCACCAAACTCCTTTGTGATGTTATGTCCCGCCCTTGTAGACTGAATCACCAGTCATAAGTCAGCAACTCTGGCAGCCTCAGGCTATTTCTTAGTTACTTTCATTTTTGATGAAAGAACCAAAAGCAGCCAAGGTACCATTTTTTTGGCTGACTTCCTTTTAGCTTGACTTTCTTTTGTAATGTACTTGTAATTCATCTTTGGCCCCAGATGTACCAACTCCAAATCCCACGGATATGTTTTTCTTTTTGTCAATGATTGGAGAGCTTTAAGGATCTTCCCCCAAGGCCAGCCAGGAAACCCAGGTCAGCAACAACGGTTCCCAGAGCCATAGCCATTATTAAAACTTGTAGAGTCGGGTCTGGCCCCATGGCATAGTGGTTACATCTGGCACACTCTGCTGAAGCAGAGTGGCCCAGGTTAGTGGGTTTGGATCCCAAGCACAGACCTACAGCACTCATCAAGCCATGTTGTGGCGGTGACCCACATACAAAATAGAGGAAGATTGGCAACAAATGTTAGCTCAGAGCAAATTATCTTCACACACAGACACACAAAAAACTGTAGAGTCAAGGGTAATTTAAAAAATCTTGCACACAGTGCCAATTCCATAAATTTTATAGGATCAGATAATTGAAAAAACTCACAGACTCTTCAGGTGTACTTATGTAAGGTTTTTGTTGTTAGTGCCTTTGAGTCGATTTTGACGCCTAGTGACCCTGTGTACAGCAGAGCGGAACTCTGTCTGGTCTTTTTGCACCATCTTCTCACCTTCCGGCGCTATATCAGATAATGCTCTGCTGCTATTCATAGGGTTTTCATGGCCAATTTTTTCAGAAGTGGGTGGCCAGGTCCTTCTTCCTAGTTTTTCTTAGTCTGGAAGCTCCGCTGAAACCTGTCCACCATGGGTGACCCTGCTGGTATTTGAAACACCGGTGACATAGCTTTCAGCACCACAGCAACACGCAGCCACCACAGTATGACAATTGACAAACAGCTGGTGTGGTTCCCTGACCGGGAAATGAGCCCAGGCCTCAGCAGTGAGAGCCCCAAATCTTAACCACTAGACCACCATAGGGACCTTTTCAGTTGCACAGGTTACTCTTTGTTTTTTAACTATCAGCCACTAAGATATGTGCAAGGAATATTGGTTTCAGGTGAGTCCAGGTAAAAATAGGTAGCAGGATATTTTATATGCTATTGGTGGTGTAGCCAAACCAGGCTGTGTAACTGGTTAAATGAGATGTAAACAATCAGTCTATATCTCTAAACGATGAAGACAAGGTAGCCCCAGGTACCAGCATGGGAATTGCAAACTTTAAGCTGCACATTGTAAATTACTAACTGGCCCATCTAGTCTTCTCTTGGCCGAGAGTCAGTAGCCAGCTTCCAATGTCCCTGGAGATAAACATGGAGCTGTCCAGTCCAAGAGTAAGGTAACTTTTCACATAAGTATTCCTTCTTCCATTCTCCGAAAAGTTTGTGTAAGAGTGTACTCATTCTTCCTTAAATATTTAGAAAAATTTTCCATTCATACCTGGCTTTCCCTCCTCCCCTCCAAGGAAAGTTTTATGACTACAAATTCAATTACTTTAAACTGATAGAGGATTATTAGATTTTTTATTTCTTCTTGTGTTACTTTTGGTTGTGTTTTTAAAGATTTTTAAAGATTTCCCATTAATCAAAATTTTCAAATTTATTGAGATACAGTAGTTCATAATACCCCTCATTATTAAAAAAAACCTTTTTTTCATTCCAGATATAGGTAATTTGTTTTGTATT